CTGCCACAAAGCCCAGGCTGAGAGCAAGGTTCTGGGGCTTTGGGACACTTGGGGTCTGCAGTTTTATTACGAAAACAGAAACATAACCAATATAAAAAGGAGAGCTCCGTCCCACGGGGGCACGCGCGGCACGGGAGGGCAGCTCTGAGTCCTCGGGCGGCCGACGGCGCCCGCTAGGCGTCCTGCTGCTGGATGAAGGGGTTAGGGATGGCCTCCATGCCGTCCTGCGGGCAGATGAGCACCACGGAGGTGCCCCTGCACACCACCAGGCCCAGCTGGCGGGTGTCCTCTGTGAGCTTGTACTGGTCGTCGGGGTCTGTGGAGTGAGAGGAAACAGTGGCAATGAGACGGCCCCCAGTGGCTTCTAGACCCGAGGGACGGGGATGAGGGGAGAACTGCGGACAGACAGGGTGGGGAGGGGGTGTGGCCCTAAGGAGCCAAATCAAAGGGGACATGCTGGGTTGAGCCACGGGCCGAGTGCCTCGCCCTCCTCCCAAAGCCCAGCCACGCTGCCCTTGTCTCTGAGATGGCCCTGGACCACGAGGGCCAGGAGGAGCTCTGGCGACAGCGGGCCACGCCTGCCCTCTTTCTACAAGCAAACACGGCGTGGGGGGATTCCGGGGCACCGCTAAGCGGGGACCCTGGCGGCTAAGCCAGCAGGGACCACGTTAGGAGCTGCTGGGAAAACAATTAGGCTGGGACTCCCGGCTCCTGGAAAATCCTGGAAGGCCTGTGGGGGTACCGCTAGCCCCAGGTTCGTGGGCGGTTAGGGCTGGGATGAAAGGCCCAGTGACTGCAGCTGAAAACCTTGATCTCTTCTGCAGGATGCTGGGGGAGGGCCAGGCGGTCCCACGTGCCGGAGACCAGGTCTCTGGGGCACAGCTCTCCCTGACCAGATCGTGCTGGGGTAACCTCTGTGCTACGCCTGATCCCTCCAGGAACCCACGTGGGGGGCTGTTCTGGGGCTGAGACAAGACGGCACAGGCCCCACCACGGTGAGGCCGCCCCGGAGGAGCAGGCTCCTGGGGCCTCGAGGCCCAGCGTGCACCGCAGCACCGGCTTGTTTTCCTGACAGGCCCTTGCGGTGCAGCTCTCACAAAGGAAGACATCATCTGGCCACAGAGGCCGGGCCAGGATCCCCACAGGGGTGGCCCCAGACGGGAGGGGGGAAACTGAGGGCAAAGCAAGAGGCCTGGGGCGCCGGCTGTGCAGCCACAACCGCACTTCCCCCACAGAGGGGGCCCTGTGATTCTGTCACCAGAGTAAGACAGGCAGTCCCCGAGGGGTAGGACTGCCGCCCTCCTGGGCCTCAGGCAGGCTGAGCTGCACTTTGTGTCAGGAGATGGGCAGCCGCCGGTCGACCGCCCTACACTGCCACGTGGGATCTGGAGACTTGGGGTGACAGGGACCAGGACCCTCTGCTAGCAGTGGAGGGTCCACCAGGGGCGGCAGGAGACGCGGAAGACCAGCCATGTGGTTCACAAGCACGGTGTCCGTGGTGTGGGGGCGGCTGGGGGGGCCTGGGGCAGGACGAGCCGGGCAAGGAGCCCCCGCGCCCCGCGGCCGTGCCCACCTCTCATGTACTCCACGGTGCCGTCCAGCACGAGGTTGAGCAGCGGGTCGAACCCCTTCAGGATGCCACTGGCTTGTAGGAACCACCGAGAAGAGAAATAGGCGTCAGGGAAGTGGCTGTCTGGGACCGGTGCCGTCGGGCTCCCCCACGTGCCTCTCCAGGGAGGGAGAGCCGGGACACCAGCTCGGGGGTGGGGGTGAGGGCGGGCTCCAGGCGGGGAGCCAGGAGGTCGAGCCCAACCCGCCCACGGAACAGGGCGGCAAACGTCTTCGCAAAGGGCCTGCGGGGGCAGTTTCAGTGGTGTGGGCCCGTGGTCTGGGCCCGTGGTCTCCACAGCAACCACCCGCTTGGCCTTTTGGGGCAAAGCAGCCCCGGGACACGCAGACGCTCGGGAGTGGCTGCGCCACGCGGAGACTCCCCTTACAGATACAGAAACGTGTGACAAGCATCTCATTGTCTTCAAATACTTAGGATTTTTAAAGACCATTCCCATCTTACCAACCACGGGCCCCGCGCACGGAAAGGAGCGGAGCGACGACCGGCGCCGCCGTGTGATGCGCGGGAGACGAGGGGGACCAGCTATCTGGTCTGAAAGCCCCCCCACCCTGCTGCGCAGGCCTCCCCTTCCCAGGCACAGTGGGAGAAGCGGGTGTGCCCCCATGTCAGTACGGGGGGAGAGCTGTGGAGTCTGTACCACGAGCACGGCTGGTGTGACCCGCAGCCACACGGGTGTAGGGCAGGGTCTGCAAAGTACGGCCCGCAGGCCAAAGCCGGCCGCTGCGCTTCCCTAAGTAGCCAGGCTGGCTCACAGCCGCGATCACTTGCTGACGAACGGTCCGTGGCTGCTTTCCTGCTCCAGGGGCAGGAGTGACAGCTGTGACAGAGACACCCTTTATGGAAAATGTCTGCCAGTCTCCGACTTACTGGGTTGGATCCCCTGGCTCTGTGGCTTCCTCTCCCTGCTTGCCCCCAATCCCCACCCTGCAAAACAAAGGTCACGAGGACACCTGCCCGATGGGGTTATGAGCAGCGGGCACTGCGCCCACACCTGTGGGTCTGCCTCAGTGGGGCGCGAGCCATGTCTCCCACCCCGGGGACGACCCTGTGTCACCCCTCCCGCCAAGTGTGGGAGGGGACCCACGAATATGATGGGAGGTCATTCCTGTAAGGGCGTTACAGGACTAGGAAAACGAGCGAGTCTGCAGAAGTGACTGGGGTCCCCAAACAAACCAGTGCACTTCCAGCTCCCGGAGAGAGAGACTCTGCTCAGCCTGATCTGATCAGATGAGCTGTGAAGGGAACAGGAATTTCGTAAAAGAAGAAACTGGAAGCATGGGAAGGATTTTCCTGCTGGGCCTGAGGGAACAAACTGCCATGCTGGGGACAGTGTCCTGTGGCAAGGGCTGGCAGGCCACCTCGGGGAGACACATGTCCCCAGACAGCTGAGCAGGACATGGAGACCCCGTCCTACAGCCACAGGGAACTGAATTCCGCCAACAAGCAGCAGGGCAGGGGAAGAGCCTGGGCCAGAGAGGACAGGCTCCTCCATACTGCTTTCCCGTGACCTGTGAGACCAGGAGCCGCAGCACCCAGCTCCGTCCTGACCGACGCTGCGAGACGGTAAGTCCGCGCTGTCTGAGCTGCTCGAGGGCTGGCGATTTGCTGCACAGGGTGGAAAGCCCTCACGACCACCCTGGGAAGCGAGAGCCGTCTCACCGCTGTCAGCCGCCCCCACCTGCAGGCACTGCGCCGTGAACCACGCCTGTGCCACCCAGGCACCCTCGCCTCGCCTCGGGATCGCTGTCTCAGGACACACCCCGGAGGACAGAGGCAGCTGGAGGAACAGGACATCGCTCGAGTGCTTGCTGGTGTCGGGAACCGAGCTAAGCCTGCCTGCAGCCCTGGAGGGGCTCACCGCGACCCGTCAGGTAGGCGGAGGGAAGAAACGAGGGAGCGGAGCCTCAGGGAAGGCGAGCTGTCCCAGGTGCTCTAGGTGGTGTGCCGAAGCGCTAGGGCTCCGACCCCAGAGGCTAGGCTGCGGGGATACCCAGGACGCGCTGCCCACATGCAAGCGCAGCACCGGGCCTCCTTCCTGCCCTGGCCTCACTGCGTTTCAGGGGAAGATGCGCAGGGCAGTGTCGGGGAACCTGGACAGGTGGTACCTGGTGCTTACACCAAAGGGGCGTGGCCCCGAGTGGAGGGTCAGGGATGCTTCCCAGAGCAAGAACCTCGAGCTGAGAGCAGGGAAATGACTCTGGCATTAACCCAGAGTTAAAAAAAGAGATAAGAGACCCCAAAAGGAGTGACCTGCACCAATCCCACGCCCCTAACCTCACTGCAGCTTGGGCTCTCCCAGGAACACAACGTCCACCAGTCCCTCTGGAACTTCCCGGCTGGCTCCAGGGAGCTGGTCTACCTGAGAGATCCCCACCACCCCTGGAAGGAGGGCGAGGAGGGTCCCTCGGTCTGTTCTCGCAGCCTCCTATCCCGGAAGACCTCCCCTTCCGCCCGCTGCGCGGCTCGGTCCGGTCTACACGGGGTGCTGCGGGAGGAAGCCGGCAAGAGCTACGAGGCTCACAGGTTTCCATCTCAACCGGCAACAAGCCCGAGCTGTCGGCCCACTGTGCGGCACACCCTCGGCAGCCCTGTGGTAGCGCAGGGCTCCTGGGAGCCACGAGGCTGTCCTTTCCCCGGGACCGCGGCGGCTGACGGCGCCCGAGCGGAGCCCGCGCTCAAGGCTGACTGCAGGGTCAGGTGGTCTACCCGGGGAGATGCCTGGTTGGGCTGTCACATGGCCCCAGCGGCACCCAGGGTCGCCCCGGGCAGGCTCCGCGAGCGAGAAGCGGAGCCCGGGCAGCGAGCATCACGGGCCAGCTGGGGCAGCCACCCGGGAGGAACTGCGAGAGAGGGGCGCACAGAGCGCAAGCCGGGGATGCCCGTCCCGGCGGCACGTCCGCGGCTCGGGCTGTCCGGCCCCCGCCCGGGCCTTGGCTTCCCCGCGCGCGGAACGCGAGGCGCAGCGCCGACGCCGGCGGGGTTGGGAGCCCGCCCGACTTCTCCGGCCCAAGCGCTCGAGGCGGAGCCGGCATCCTCCGCCGGCGCTCGCCCCAGGCCGCTCACGGGGTGCGGGCGGCGGGGTCTCACCTTCGCGGCCTCCCTGAAACTTCACCCGGATCGTCTTGTCGATGTACTTAGACAAGTCCAAGATGCTCTCTTTCTTCTTCTTCTCTTTGTCCTGCAGGGGAAGCAGAGCGCGTGAGGCGTGGAGCGCGGCCGGGTCCCACACCGCCCGCCCCGCCGGCCCCGCCGCGCGCTCACCGCCATCTTGCCGCGCCACGCCCCTCTGCGCAGGCGCCGCCGCGCGCCCTTTGACCCTGCCCCCGCGCGCAGGCGCGGAGCACAGACGGCGCAGGCGCGCCCGGCGCGCCGGGGCGTTGCTGGGAAACATCTGGCGACGCCTGCGGCTGGAACCGGCGGACATGGCGGCGGCGGCGGCGGCGGCGGCGCTGGCGCGGCTCGCGGCGGCCTTCCTCCTCCTCGTGGCCCAGGTGAGGCTGCGCCGGCCCCGCCGGCCCCGCCGGCTGTGACACCCGGCCCCTGTGCCCCGGGCCGCGCGCGGGCCCCGCCCCACCTGGCCTGGGGGTCGGCCTCGGGTTTGCGCGCCCCCCTCGCGAGTGGCCCGCGGACCGGGAGCCGGGCCGTGACCTTGCGGGCCTGTCCCCGGCCACTCTCTCTCCTCCGCCTCGGAGCCCTCTCTAGCTGCAGCGTCACTCGGCGCGTCTGGGTCTGGAGTTTGGGAGTCCCCCTACCTCCCCAGGCCCCGCTCCGTTTCGAGGTATCCAGCCGCCGCCGGGGACGCCCCTGCCTGGCTGCGTGGCCTTGGCCGGGCGGCTGCCAGTCTCCGAGCCTCAGTTTCCCCTTTCGCGCGATGTTCGCGGGGGTCCGCGTGGTTGCGGTAAGCACGGCGCGCGGTGCCTGGCCGTGTCGCCGAGCGGCCAGGAGACCCTCCCTGGAAGTGGGGTCGCGTTGCCGCCACGGACTCCGTCCGGTGACCTTGGGCAAGGGAGGTACCCCCTTTGGGCGTCAGTTGCTCACCTGCGGCAGGAGGAGAAGAGTGCAGTGAGGACGCCGCCGGTGGTGCACGGGGGATGCTGTATGTGCTCCTTCTCCGGCACTTAACGTTAAGGGTCTCGGGCTGGCGGTGTCTTGCCGCCCGCCGGCTGATGGACGTCATCGTGAGCGCAGGTCCTCACCCGCTCTCCCCTGGGTCATGCAGCTCAGGGCGCGGTGTCCCTAACCCGCCCTGCGAACGCAGCCATTCCCCTTGAGCGGTGCACCCCAGCCCACTGCCCCTCCACGGCGGCCTCAGGTGGCCGGTGCTCTCCCGCATCCCCAGTCCCCTCCCAGACTAGACCAGGCAGGAGCGAGGTCTTTGAAAGTGTGTCAGGTCCTGCGTCCAGAAGAGAGCCTTCCCGAGGCGGCCAGCGCGTGTGGGAGGCCTCTGTGCTTTGGCTGCCTGGGACACTTCCCGTCCTTTCCTAGTTCGCTGAGGGCACTCTGCTCTCTTGTCTTCCCCGTGTCCCTGGAATGCCCCTGGTCGTGCTTCTGGTCTCAGCTGAGTTGTTCTTTCCTCTCCCCACCCCCGAGAAGCTCTCTGGGCTGCCCCCTCCCCAGCTCTGGGCTGAGCCCCCGGCCCTGCCCCAACGCTGCTCCCTCACTTTCCTCAGCAGTCTAAGTCCGTCGGGGGCAGGGACATTTTGAATGGGAGCCGGATGAGAAGTGGACACAGGGCAATGGGGGCCCCACGGAGGGAGAGACCAGGTTTGCTTGGGGAGGCTTTGTGGAAGCAGGGACCCCTGAGGGGTGTTCTGAAGGATGAACAGGAGTTTGCCGGGTCTCGAAGGCAGAGGGAGGGGCCGCGGGGCTGAGCGGCGGGACCAGGGGTGAAGGTGTGAGAGCTGACGACTCATTTTGAGCAGGTGAGGAGTCTACCCTGGTTGGTAATATGCTCACACCCTGAGAAAGATGACACCCCAGAGGAGGCCCTCAGGTGCCCTTGAAGGGAGCTGGGGTTGCCCCTTCGGCTGAAGGGCACGGGGGAGGGGCAGCAGGAGTGGCTCCCAGGCCGAGGGTAAAGGGCAGGCGCCCGGCAGGTGGCGAAGGCTTGTGGTGCTCCAGGGCAGGCTGAGGGTTTCGGACTTTGTCTTGTGCGAGCAGAGGACGGTGTCGGAGCGTGTGATGAGAGCACTTGTGCTGGTTGTCCCGGGCACAGAGCCCGGGTCTGTCTGTCTGCCTGCCCCGGGATAGGACAGACGGCACTGTGGTGGGTGGGTGTGGTTCTCTGTGGGAGTTTGGGTCCTGGCGCCTGAGGATAAGGCCAGCTTTCCACCGGCTGGGACGCTGCTTGTGGGCAGCCCCGAATTCACCTGCTACCATTTTGTAACCCTGGGCGAGGGAGTCCCCAAATAGACGTGTGTCCCCCAGTGGCAACAAGATGTGCACATAAGGATGGTAGTGGGGTCTGCTACTCAGCAGATCTGAAGTCGGGTCAGTGCTCTCCCCACCCCTTTCCTCCCTTCTCCACTCCTGCACCTGTCCCCTCTGCCCTCCTCAGCCTGTCCCCTCTGCCACCTGCACCCCCCCACTCCTGCACCTGTCCCCGCTCCTCCTCTGCCTCAGCATCTCTTTCCATGCTTCCTGGGTTCTTATGTCCCCACCCTGTTCTGGAACTGACCGAACCTTAGAAGCACGACTGCTTCCGGCCTGGACTCATGAGCTTTTCTCAGACGCCTGCGGATGCCTTCGTGGTCTCCCCAAAGCGTGGTGTCCCTAGAAGCTCCCGAGCCCGTTTAGAGACTGTGGTGTGTCGAAGGTGGTCTGTCTGGTAGTCCCAGCGATTTCCGGCTCTCCGGATTGGGTTGAGTCCTTCTGGAGAACGTCTGGATCCTCTCACTCTGTACGCTGGCATCTGACGTGCGCGTGGGCTCATTTCCTAACGGGCAGCCGGCCGTGCGGGCTGTGGGCAGTGAGGTCCGTGGGGTGCGCTTCTGTGCTTGCTAATGACCTCTGTAAAGAGAAGCAGCTTTTGCGCGTCCCCATTTTACACAAACAACACTTTTCCCCACAGTCTGGACCCCACAGAACAGGGGTCAGCAGACATGTCCTGCAAAGGGCCAGACCGTGACTGTTTCTGGCTTCGTGGGCCACGTGGTCTCGGCCGCAACCTCGCAGCTCTGCCGGGGTCATGGAGAGCGGCCAGAGGCCCTGCGTGCGGGAATGGGACAGTTGTGCTCCAATAAAACTTCATTTAGAAGTGCAGAAGGAGGGCTGCAGGAGGCTGGGGTGTCGGGGGATCCTCCGTTCCCCACCCTGGCCCCTGGTTCTGAGCCTGGGGTGACCCTCTGGAAGCCGTGTCCGGACAGGTAGAGCGCTTTTGGCTGCGCGGACAGGTGCCCTTGGCGGGTGCAGTCTGGTGGGGAGAATGGAAGGGAGGGCTCCTGGTTCTGCCTCCAGTGGAGGGAATGAGGGGCCACAAGAGGTGCGCGGAGGTTGGCCAGGGCAGATGAGGGAAGGGTGCGGCCTGCCGAGGTGCTCTGAGACCCCTGGTTGGCCTCAGGCAGCCCCCAGCTCCTCCCCTCACGAGCCTGGGTTCTTGGAGCTCAGCGCCCCCTCCGCACGGCCTCTCCGCACACCCCCAGCAGTGCACGAGGCAGCAGGCAGCGGGGTCAGGTCAGAGGTGCCCGCTGGATGAGCCGGTCGTCGGGGACCCTGCCAGCTGTGGGGTCGGGACCCCCTGGATCTCCACGCTGCCGTCAGCTCAGCATGACCAGGGCCGGGATGAGAAGCCCCTGGAGTGGCCGGGCCTCGCCAGGCCTCCACCGTCAGTTTGGCTGAGCGGGGTCCGGTCAGTGGCCCAGGCCTGGTGTCGGGAGCCGTGATCCCGTGGGACCTGCGGCCCCGTCCGCTGCACGCTCTGCCCCGACGGCGGGGTGTGTGGCTTGCGGTGTCGGCCAGACCCTATCGAGTGTCCCCGTCCAGACGAGTGGATCTAGGTGTTTGGCTCCTTGGCACATTCTTGGTGATCCAAGGAGGGAGTTTTCCATCTCAGTCTTGGGTGATCGCAGCCCACAGGGAGCACAAGCTCCAGAAGCGTGGCCCCCGCGAGCCCAAGGTGCTCAGAGCAGGCTTCTGGGCCAGGCGTGCGGGGCGCCCCGAGGTGCGGTGGCTGGACTGACCCCCTCGGCTTCTAGCACCGGGCTTCTCTCCTAAGACCCCTCCTCCCTCAGCGCACCCCTGGCACCTGCTCGCACTCGGGGTGAGCCCGCCTGGGGCAGAGCCGCTGAGACCCGGGCCCGAGTGCTGTGTGAGTCTCTGCTGACGAAGTGCTCCCGAGAGATGGAGCCTGTGCTTGTGGGGGGCTCTGTGCCCCGGCCAGAGCCCAGGGAGGAGGTGGGAGAGGGCCCCCTGTGCAGCACCGGCCTGCCAGCCAGCCGGGCAGCAACCCGGGGAGGGCTGTGGTGTTCCAGGCAGGAGATGTGGGTGGGCAGGAAGTGGGGACACCTTTGTATGAAATTGCGGTTTTTCCTGGAGAGTAAGCTGGTGTTCGACTGAAAAAAAGAGAGTCAGCCCCTCTGGCCCAGGCCCCCCGCCATGCCGCTGTCCTTGAGGGGCGTCCGGTGTCCGAGGACTCCGGGTGGTGCCCCACGCCTTGCTTGCTGGGTCGTCAGGGCCCTCTGGCGTGGCCCTCCCCGAGCAGCCAGCTGTCCCGTGGGCTTGGGAGGAGGACCGTGGCGCTAGCCGGCTCCTCTTCCTCCTTCTGGGAGGCTGGGGCAGGGTGGGGAGACAAGCTCTGCTGGCTCCGGGCCTGCGCGGAGAGCCGGCCATGGCCCGTGGGCGTCTGCATGACTCTCCTGGGCCGCGGAGTCTCCCAGCTCCCAGCCCCAGGCGGCCGGCCTGCAGACCGCCGGCTTCCTGCCAGGACTCTGAGCGGGGCGGCCAGTCCCGCCTGGGCTTCTGCTGGCCTGTGCCTGGCAGGGGCCAGTCATGTGACCGAGGCTGCGAGGTCCCCCCGGAAAGTAAGGTGTGGGACGAGGGCCCGGAGCCGGCTGGCCTTCCCAGTCAGTGGCCAGTAGGTAGTTCTTCCAGGAGCCTGCGGGTGAGGGGCGCCCCCCGCCGCCTGCGGGTGTGCTGGGGGCTCCTCTAGGCCTTGCCCTGTGTCCCGGCCTCAAGCCGCCGCCCAGGGCCTGGGGATGGGTCTGCGGGTCCGCCGTGTCCCCCTCATGACAGAGGCACGGGGTTTGCCTTCTTCCTGTCCCATTGATCCTGTGCGAGGCCCTGTGGGGTGGTGCTGTCCCTTCTGTAGGAGCCACGGGGAGAGGACCTGACAGGGCCACAGTCAGCACCCGGGTCTCCCTGGGGATGCTCGTCCCCACCCTTGCTGCCCTCGTTGTTTTCCCCAGCATCTCCAGCACCTGGTGGTGTCCCGTCTGTCCTGTAGGAGGGAGGAAAGCAGCCCGAGCCCTGGGTGGGGGCTGTCCTCGTTTGGCTCAGACCCTGATGTTTCTGCCAAGCGCTCTGACCCCTGCCTTGTCGCTGCAGGTGGCCTGTGAGTATGGCATGGTGCACGTGGTCTCCGAGACGGGGGGTCCCAGAGGCAAAGACTACTGCATACTCTACAACCCACAGTGGGCCCACCTGCCACATGACCTTGGCAAAGCGGTGAGTGTCCACCAAGGCCCTTCCTCAGGACGGTCTTCCCACTGGGGTCTTTCTCGGTGGGCCTGGCAGGCCCGGAGGTGCTGTGGGACGCCCCCTCCGGACTTGGGGTTGGGTCTGTCCTGCAGGAGGACAGAGGAAGGGCCTCAGCTGTGAAACCATGCGGGGGGTCTGGGCACACTTCCGGGGCTGCTGGGGTCTCAGGTGGCCCCGGAGCGGCCCCATAACCTCTCTGGACCTCAGTGTCCTTGGTCAGAAACAAAAGATGTCCAGGCGCTCCCACTAGGGGCACTGGCCACGTCCCCACACGCTGGCAGGGGGCCGGCTGGCAGAGGGGTCCCTAGAGCAGTGAGGGCGGGACCAGCAGCCCAGCGGTGCATGCGTGATTCTCAGCCCGAGGCTGCTGCTCCCGCCAGCCGGGCAGGCACGGAGGGTTTGCTACGATCGAGGGTTTGCTACGGTGTCCTCTGAGCATTCACCCCGTCCCTCCCGTGTGCCTCGCGCTTGGGTGTGTGTACGTATGCGCTCGTGCATGTGAGTGCGTGTGGGTGCGTGTGTGTGTGAACGCACAGGTCCGTGTGAACGTGAGTGCGGGCACACGTGTGTGCATCCCCCCTCCCCCCACATTCCTGGATCAGCCGGTGTAAACGCGCCCCTCCCCCCCAGTCTCTCCTGCAGCTGCGGGACTGGACGGCCTCCATGCTCTGCTCCCCGCCCGATGTCCCAGCCAGGGGCTTCAGCAACCAGATCCCGCTGGTGGCGCGCGGCAACTGCACCTTCTACGAGAAAGTGCGGCTGGCGCAGGGCGGCGGGGCACGCGGGCTGCTCATCGTCAGCAAGGAGGCGCTGGTAGGGCCCCAGGCTGTGCTGGATGGGGCGTCTTGGAGGGGCGCGGCCCAGAGCGGCCCTGGGGTCCTGTAGGGCTGTCCTACAAGGCCTCAGGGCAGAGCATGGGGGTGCCCAGGGCAGGGTGGCCTCTAAGCGACTTGACCTTAAGGCCCCGAAAGTGAAGCCAGAGCTTTTTCTCCGCTGCAGGGAGGGACAGACACACACACACAGTCCGTCTCTGCACCCTCCAAGAGGGCGGGCTCGGCGCACCCCGCAGTTGGGGGCAGCCTGCCTCGCCCCGGGTGGGCCTTGGTAAGCTGTCCTGTCCCTGCCGCATTCCCTGCCTTGGCCCCCAGGTCCCCCCAGGAGGCAACAAGACCCAGTATGATGAGATTGGCATTCCTGTGGCCCTGCTCAGCCACAAAGACATGCTGGACATCTTCAAGGTAGGGCCTCCTGTCTCCTTCCATCCGCGCTGGTCGGGCACGTGCGTGCCTGGGGGGTGGGTGGTTCACGCCGCGCCCATCACCAGCTCCCCAGGAGAGGGCAGGAATGGAGAACCGCCCCAAGGTCAGAGTGCCCGGGCCCCAGGCCGCCCTGCCCCCGCCCGGCCCCGTCTGACCAGGGCCCGCGTTCGCCCGCAGTTTGTGGGGTGCCTTCGGGAACCGGTGAGCTTCCAGGCACAAGAAGGACAGGAACATTCTGTCTGTGTGGAAGCGTTGGAATGTCCCCCCGCAAAGCCTGCTAGACGTTCCCCACGTGACGTGCCCCTCCTGTGCACATGCGTGTCCCGGTTCAGGGCTCGTGTCCCCACACGCGCACGGGCCCCTTCCACTGACCTCGTGGGAAGCTTTTGCCGCCAGAGTTGATTTTTTGGGGGGTGGGAGTGGCAGGTGAAGGCCTGGGGCTTGGGGCCCTCCGGGACAGGCCCCCTGGGGTGGGTGAGGGGACAGGGACGGCAGCCCCAGCCTTGAGCTCCGGCGCGTTCTCTGAGGCAGAGCTTCGGCCGAGCGGTGAGGGCAGCGCTGTACGCCCCCAACGAGCCCATGCTGGACTACAACATGGTCATCATCTTCGTCATGGCTGTGGGCACCGTGGCCCTCGGGGGCTACTGGGCTGGGAGCCGGGACGTGAAGAAGTGAGTGCCCGGGGAGGCCAGCGATGGGGCCCGCGCTGGGCGGGTCTGTGGGTGGTCCCAGCGCCGTTCGAGGGGATCCCGTCACTCGCCATCAAAGTGGCTGTCACAGCGTGGCTCCCAAGGTCCCTGGCGCCAATGTGGCGCCCCTGTGGAGGGCACGGCAGGGACACACAGTGGGCGTGCAGAGGGAGCCCCTCGGCATCTGGGTGCTGTGCCAGCCGGAGGGCATCCCCTGGACGCGTCTGTGCCTCCCCCAGAAGGTACATGAAACACAAGCGGGATGATGGGCCCGAGAAGCAGGAGGACGAGGCGGTGGACGTGACCCCTGTCATGATCTGTGTCTTCGTGGTCATGTGCTGCTCTATGCTGGTGTTGCTGTATTACTTCTACGACCAGCTCGGTGCGCCCCCATCCCACCGTGCCCCAGGGAGACCGAGGCCCAGTCCCCCAGCCCACCTGGAGGAGCCCCGCTGCTTGGCTGTGGGGTGGATGGATTCCGAAGGAGGGGGCCTTGGGGCCAGGAGCTGTGCCTCCCATTCACTCTGTGAATTCACAACCCCACGGGGCCCTTCCTGCCAGTGGGTATGGGGTGGGCCCCCCCCTCACTGGCGGCCCCACCCGCAGTCTATGTGATCATCGGGATCTTCTGCCTGTCCTCGTCCACCGGCCTCTACAACTGTCTGTCACCGCTGGTCCAGAGGCTGCCCTTCGGCAGGTGCAGGTAAGCCCCGGGGGGCGCCCCCTGCCAGGCCCTGCGCCCCTGCCCCGGTGCCTGGGCCTAGCCCCGTTGGTCTCCCGCCTCCTGGCCCCGGGAGCTCCGAGCCCTACTTGGATGGTGCCAAGGATCCCCTCCCTCCCCTGTGGCCGTGGGCAGGCATCCCGCACCCATCCCGTGCTGGCTGCGGCTCCTGGCCTCAGAGCAGGGCAGAGTGGAAGGGGGGAGTTCTCCGGCCTCCCCCTCCCCGCCACCCCGTTGCAGCTCAGGCCCCGTGGGGACAGCGTGAATGCGTGTTGGTCCCAGGCAGCGCAGGACCACAAGGGCGCAAGCGCTGCTGCTCCAGACCTGGAAGGGGTCTAGTCTGGTTCTGATGGGCCCAGTGGCCCATTGCCAAACAGTGCTCAGAAAGCTCAGATTGTGGGGTGAGGCCTTTCCAGGCTGCTGTCCCAAGGTCAGAGGTCAGGGGCCTGCAGTGGTGGGGCCGTGGGCTCCTGGGGGGCAGGGCGCGGGCGGAGGTCTGTCTCCTACCCTGCTGCCTTCTGCTCTGCCCTTGGGGACCTCCCTCCTGGAGCTGCCGTAAGGCATGAAGAGGGGTGTTCGTAGGGAACGTGCAGTGGACGAGGGGGTGAGGCGGGGGTGAGCGGACCCCCCGGGTGCTGGGCGGTGGCGAGGAGCCAGCTCCCCTTGACGGCCCGCCTGCCCCCAGGGTCCCCAACAACAGCCTGCCCTACTTCCACAAGCGTCCTCCGGTCAGCCTGCTGCTCCTGGCGCTGCTCTGCCTGGGCGTCAGCGTGGTGTGGGGAGTCTTCCGGAATGAGGACCAGTGAGTGCCACCCCGTCTGCCGCCTGTCCTCAGACGCCCTGGGCCTCGCCTCCCCGAGCCGCGAGCGTGGGCCGTGTGGCAGCCAGTGTGGCGGCCGCGTCCGGTGTCGCGCGTCTGTCCTGCTGCCACGGGGTCGCCAGCGCCTGGGATCTGGGTCCGAGATGCCGCCCGCCCTCCTGGCCCCGGGCGCCCCGAGCGCATGTTCTCCAGGGCGCCGGGGGGTGTAGGGAGGCCTGGAGCCTGCGGGCCCCCCTCCCCGCTCCCTGCGACACCGTCTGGCGCGGCTCTGAGCTCTGAGGCGGTGAACCGCTCTTGGCGGTGCTGCCACTTGGAGCCGTGACAGATGTAATTGGCAGAAGGAAAACGTGAAAATATTTTGAGTCCTTTGTACACAAAGAGAACATGAGCTCTCACAGTTTGATCGAAGCCAGAAGACTTGCTTCGTTCTAGAAAGTCAGAACAGGCCCCATTGCCACCGCGTCTGGGCGCCCACTGGCCGCCGGCAAATCTTCTCTTTGTTCTTTGTGGCTGCCCTGGTCACCCTGGCCGGGAGACCAGCTCCGGCTCTGTGACGACCTCGGCACAGATGGGGCAGTGGGGGCGAGCCAGCACGTGGCCGGTGTGGCCCCATGGTGGCAGCTCCCTGTCGGTGCTGCGGTCACACGTGCACCTCTGTATCCCCTCCGCCTCCCAGTCCCTGAGCCCCCGTTTCCCAGGCCGAGAGGCTGGTGTGGAACCTGGCTGAGCGCGAGTTCGACTTTTCTAGGTTGTGGGAAAAGTACTTTTGAAGAGAGATTCAAGTTGCTGCATTATCCCTGTGCCTGCCCCTGATGTGAGTGTGGACGCTGTCCCCAGAGGGGGACAGACCCCAGGGCGTGTGGTGTCAGAGGGCCGCTCCCCACCCATGACCAGCACAACCCGCGGCCCTGCCCGTCCCGCCGGGGCCGGCAGCCGAGTTGTCACCGCCGGCCGGGCACAGACAGCTCAGGAGACCCGCCGCCTCAGCAGATGAGGAAGGAGCGGCGGGCGGGTGACGCCTCCGGCACAGCCCCTGGCCCAGCGGTGACGCTGCTCTGCCTTCCAGGTGGGCCTGGGTCCTTCAGGACGCGCTGGGCGTCGCCTTCTGCCTCCACATGTTGAAGACCATCCGCCTCCCCACTTTTAAGGTGAGAGCCCGAGGACGTGGGGCCGCTGGGGTGGGCGTGGGCGGGACGGTTGTGTCCTGAGAGCCTCCATGCCCACCGCGTACCTCGAGTGGCCCCAGGCCTGCTGTCACCCACCTGTGCTCGGGCGTCCCTGGCCCTCCCCGGGCAGCGTGGTCTTCGGGCTTTGGTCCCTCCTGCCGCCTCCCCAGTGACAGGGCTCAGGGATCCACTGCAGCCCTGCCTCCCAGTGTGACAGCCATGGCAGTGACCACAGGGCCACGAGGACCCCTGGAACCCTCCCCTGGGCGGGGCTGCAGGCTGGGGCTCTTCCAGGGGTGGCCGCTGTGCCGGGGGGAGCTTGCTCCAGGCTGAGGCGCACATACGGGCAAGCGAGCGTGGTCGGTGGCCCTGCACGAGGGCCCGGGCCGTCATCCCCGAGGGGGAGCACGCGGCATGCCATGAGGAAGGTTCGGCACCCCACCCCCTTGGTGACCAACCACACAGCGTGTCCCTTGAGCCTCACGCCTCCCGGCTTTTCCATCCCTCAGAAGCCTCGCCAGCCTGACCTCGTGGTGCCAGGGACAGGCCTGGGTTTGCTCAGATTGTCCCCTCGCGGCTTTGTCCCACGGGGCGCTTCTGAGCCTTGTAGGAGGGTGGGGGGTGCGTTCTGGGGGTCCGTGCACCTGCCGCCATGCCGCGCACCCATCAGGACGTCGCCCCTCAGGCCTGCACGCTGCTGCTGCTGGTGCTGTTTGTCTACGACGTCTTCTTCGTGTTCATCACGCCCTTCCTCACCAAGGTGGGCGCCCCCGCCCAAGCCCTGCTGCCGCGCCCCCCCCCACCGCGCACCCCCCTCTGACGCAGGCCCCTCTCTGTTAGAGCGGGAACAGCATCATGGTGGAGGTGGCGACCGGGCCCTCGGACTCGGCCACCCACGAGAAGGTACGTGGCGGGCCCGCGGCCGAGGTGCTGCTGGGAGGAGGGTGGTGGGCTCGGGTGGGTCCTGGAGACGGCCGCCTCCTCGCCCCCCCAGCTCCCCATGGTCCTGAAGGTGCCCAGACTGAACGCCTCACCGCTGGCCCTGTGTGACCGGCCCTTCTCCCTGCTGGGCTTTGGGGACATCCTGGTGCCAGGTACTGGGGCGCGCCACGCCGTGGTGGGCGTCCTCGGGAGTGTCAGGCCATGGGCGGGCGGGGGCGGGTGTGGATGGTGAGGAGCGGGCGGGGGCGGGTGGCCCCTGGGGCTCCCGTGCTGCACGGGGCAGGTGGACGTGGCACGGATGTGGCTCGTGGCTGCACTCGTGGCGGGGGTGGCGCGAGCCCGGCCCACGCGCCTTGTCCCTGCAGGGCTGCTCGTGGCGTACTGCCACAGGTTTGACATCCAGGTGCAGTCGTCCCGAGTCTACTTCGTGGCCTGCACCGTGGGTAAGTGCCCTCGCGCCCGGCCTCTCACGTCCCCACGACTCTCGAGGCCGCGTTTCCTTCGTTGTATCCTCTTGTCCTCATCTCCTGCTTCTTTCTTCGGTTACCAAAGCCATTGACGTGGAAGCGACCTGTCTGGGGAGCCCCAGTTGCTCTTAACATTTTCCAAACCAGTTGGCTTGCCCGCGTCCAGGCATCGCCCTGGGAGGCCTCACTGGTAGCACTTGTCGGTGCACGTGTGTCCCCCTGTCCCTCCAGCTGGGATGCGCTGTGGCCCCTCCTCGTGCGCAGAGGCCGTGTGCACTGGGCCGGAGCACAGCCCCGTGGGGGAGGCCCCGGCACGACCCGGGCTGACCTTGCAGGCGCACTTGGGGGTTGTCCCCATCTGCCCCTTCCTGGCCCGGCTCGTGCAGCCGCTCGTCCGCTCGCTGTCCCTGAACCTGCCCCCAGGCCTTGCGTCCTGGCGGTGGTTGTCAGAGCGCTGTCTGTCAGGTGGCGTCCGTGGCTCCTTGTTGCTGGACCTGCGCCCCGCGGTGGGCAGCAGACGCCGCCGTTCCCCCGAGGCTGTCTGCTCTTGGGCCGCTGATTTAGGATGCGGGGCAGTGAGGAACAGAGCCCTGGGGCACCAGGCGAGGGTCAGGCCAGAGCCACGGGCAGGATGAGGGGCCCAAGACCAGGCTGTAAACGGTTGTTTCCTTGCCACACCTTCCTGAAGCCCCCCAGGTCGCGGTCAGGACGAGGAGCTGCTGTGCCCTGTGCGGTGGGAGAGCCGGCCCCGTGCCCCGCGCCGCCTCCCCGCCTGTCTCATGGCCGTGCCATCGCAGTCCCCCTGGCACAGCGTGGGGCTTCTGACCGTGTGCCTGCGTTGCTCGTGTGCAGAGTTATCTCTGACTGAGGGCGCGGGAACGGGACTCTCAGGCGCAGTCACAAGCCTTTGTCTGGCGGCCTCTCGGCCCAGAGCTGGGCCTCGCCACCACCGCGGTGTCGCCCCTGCCTGTCTCCTGCCCTCCCCATGCGCTCCCGTCTGTCCGTCTGTCCTGCTCCACGTGCCCACGACAGGCAGGGGCTGGGCTGTGGGGCTGCCCGCCGGGGTAATGCGTCGCCCGTCTCTCCCCACAGCATACGGCATCGGGCTCCTGGTGACGTTCATGGCCCTGGCCCTGATGCAGCGCGGCCAGCCCGCCCTCCTCTACCTGGTGCCCTGCACGCTGGTGACAAGCTGCGCCTTGGCACTCTGGCGCGGGGAGCTGGGCACGTTCTGGACGGGCAGTGGCTTTGTGGTGAATACCAGTTTGCTCTGAGTGTCCGCGAGCAGTAAGAGCCCAATAAGCCCTAACTAGACTTACAGTTGCGTAAAACTCCCAGTTGGATGACCGAGCCCCACAGCCTGTGTCCCTGGTCAGCGCTTCCCGTTCCCAGAGGCCTTTGCTTTGCCGTCAGCCTGTGTGGCTCTGTCCTTCTGGGTGTAGCTTGTGGACACGGCCCTTGCTCTGAAGTGCCAGTCCCAGGGGTGGTGACACGTCATTGGATCGGATCTTGGTTTCCAGGCATTTCCACCATCAGGAACGCAGAGTGGGCCCTCCCTGGCCTCCCATGGCGGGCCCATGGCGCTTGTCTTGCTGCTGCTGGTTTCAGGGCGGGAGGCCCCTCTTACTGGAGCACCGTGCCTTCAATGTGAAAGCACGAGGTCTCGTGTGCCTGTGTCCCCGGGACGGAGCTGACCTCCTCCTGCCGCCCTGTCAGTGAATCACAGGACCTGGCCCCTCCGTGACGGGAGCTCCGAAGGGCACTCGGTGTCTCCCGAGCGTGGTCCGCGGCCCCGAGTTACCGTGTCACATGTCTTGCACCAAAACACTCCTCTCGTCCCGGCCTAGACATGGCGGAGGGAGGGGGGCTGCTGGGCACCCCGACTAATTACCCAGACCCCGTAGCCCGATGCTGGGGCCTTTAGCCCTTCCCTGGACCCTCGGGGAAGCACGCTGGCTTCACCGCCCTCCCTCCTCGAAGGGTCTCAGGCCCAGTGAGTGCTTAGTTCTGGAAGGTTCAGGTGGTGGGGAACAAGCCAGAGATGTCAGAGTCAAGGTTTCTGTCGGGTGGCCGTCCTGGGGTCCCAGTGCTGCTGGTCGTATGTGGTCTGGAGGGAAGGTGGCTCCTGGGCCTGGAGCCAGACCCTCCAGGGACCCCAGCCGGTCTGCCCGCCTCACCCCTGCTGCCCCGGGCTCTTCCAGCCCCACCCAGGCCTGACGCGGTCTCTTCTCTTGCAGAAGGACCTACCTCCATCTCCTTGGGCGCCGTCTTCCGCCACCGGCCCGCAGCCCGGGAAGGACTCTGACAGCAGCCTCTCGCAGCCGCCTCCAGGCGAAGGACTGGCCAAGTGCCCTGTGTCCCCAGAGCAGCCCCCGGAGGTGTCCACGCCCGAGGAGACCGGGGCCGGGGCGCACCCACAGGAGCCCGTGAGCCCCGCGGGCTGCACCCCGGAGCCCACAAGCACGGTGGGCGCCTCGGCCTAGGAGGTGGCACAGACACTCGGTCCCTCGTCGCTACCTGCCGCGCCGAGACCCCGAGACTGGACCTGCCCGGCCCCCCCACCCCAAATTGGTGCTCCGGTCTGGCCGACGCCCCCGCTCTTCCTCCTCCTCAAGCCGAGCCCAGCTGTGTCCTGGACCCTCTCCAGCCCTGCTCCCCGCTCCTGTGGCTGCCGCGAGCCCCTCCCCCGCTCCGGCCCACGAGGTCACGTCGCCGTCGCCGTCACCGTGACAGGAGCAGCACCCAGCTCCGCGGTCTTGCCTGTCCGCCTGGTGTTTCCTCAGCAAGAGCAGGAAGCGCTCGGCTGCGGCTGCCGGTCCGCCCACATCTGGTGCTTCCCGCTCTGCTGCTCCCTCAGGTTCTGGCCTGCAGAGCCCCGTCGTGCCGGCACCGGGGTCGGACGCGCCTCGGGGTCGGTTGGGGCGCCCGGTGGGCCCTGCCCTGCCTCCATCAGCCTGGGCGCCTGTGCTCCAGCTTCTCCGCCTGTGAATAAACGGCCACGACGTGTCGAACTCGGGTGGTGTCGCCTCTTGGGTCTGAGTCTCAGCCGGGCCTCGGGACAGCCGGTCCCCGGTCGCGCCATCCACGGGGCTGCGTCTCTCTGCTCGGCTCCGTCCCTCCAGCTGAGATGGACTCGGGCCCCCATCCTCCCCACAGCACCTGCACGCTCTCAACCCCACCCCAGCCCGGCCTCTAGGGACAACACCGGCCAGGCGAGCGCGCTTTCTGTTTAAACCACCCGGGAGCTTCTGGAATGTGGAGAATATTCTGGAATTGGCATTTTGTCTTCTACCTCACTGACAGGGTTCTCCGAACGTCACAACGGAAATGCCGCCGTAGGACTGGCCGCGGGGCGGCGGCCCCCACGCCATGGCGCGCGCCCGTCCACACAGCCTCCAGACTCGAGCCCGAAAGCTGTTTGCACCGACGTGACGTGAAGCCACAGACCCCCAGCCACGCGGTCCCAGCTCTGTCCCCGGTCTGTCCGCTGCTCCGTTGCAGCTGGCAGGCGTGGGGTCAACCATGATCCATTCCAAAAAATACCAGCGCCAGACAGACTCACACAGCCTTTGCCAGCCCTGCTGCTCCGAGGAGAAATGATGATGATTCAAAAAAAAAAACAAAAAACAAAACGTTTTCCACCTGTCCCCGTGTCTCTTAAGATGACGGGTGACCCGGGAGAGAGACCAGCTGGACCTGCCGGCCCTGAGAGCCGCCCAACGGGGAGGCCAGAGCGGGCTGCAGGGTCCGTGCGGACGGTCCCCACCCCCAACTGGCACGTCCCTCTAGGCCGTGTCACTCGTCGGTGTAGGACCCAGAATCTCCGTTTTCTGTGTTTGACAAACGTCAGGGGATCTGAAGGTGGATGTTCCGGAAGTTTCTGTGTGCAGTCTTTGCCTCGCTTCTGTTTGAGTCTTAGGATTAAACACAGCTTTTGAGAGTTGCCGCCCGGCTCTCGGCTTTTCTGCAGCGCGGCGGCAGGCAGAGCGCGGTGTGGGGTGGGTGTGGGCCCAGGTGTGGCCCGGCCCACAGGGTCGGCTGCCCCGGGGTGTGGGCACCCATCCATGCAGCCCACCACTTGCCCAGGCAGGGGGTCGAGCTCTGCTGTGACGTGGCTGGAGGCCATGTGGGGCTGGGGCCCTGATTCCGGGCACTGGAGAGCTGGGGGGGCCTGGAGGGAGCTCGGTCGGCCCTGTGTCGGGTGACGCCTCGCTTCTCCATGATGATCCAGGATGCGTGGAGGGGAAGTGCCTGTTGTGGGCCTGGGGACCAAGCTGGCCAGTGGCTGGGGTCTCCCAGGCCACCCGGTCACACTGCCACAACCAGTCGGCCCTGCTGCTGAAGCCCACGCCTCACGGCCCATGGCAAATGGGTGGGGCTGGGGCTAGGACACTGCTGGACACAGACACGTTGCGTCTCACATGGTTTCCCAGGTCGGGAAGCAGCCTCCCCTGGGTAGCGTCGAACTAGTCAGGAAGCGGCGGCCCTTTCTTAGCGAGCCTCTGGGAAGGCCGTCCCCCAGGCCCCGCTCACCGTGCGCTGGCCGCGGGTGGCGAGCTCAGCAGTGCCCGGGCAGGGAAGGCCCTACACGCTTGTTTTCACGGTGGGGAGGCACAAGTCGGTGCCGGGGAGACCATGTTCCTGCTCCGTGCCGGGGTTGGGGGGCACAGCTCTGTGTGACCGGGGTGCTACGGAGATGGGACGGGGCTGTGAGAACACCAGAGTTCTTCACTGAGCTCTGGCTAATGGTCTCCATTAACTGTTCATTCCCTCCGCCTTTCCTGAGCTCCGGCTACGAGCCAGGCCCCTGACTCCACTGGGGCGCCTGGGTGGCTCAGACCCACTCTGCCCCAGGTGGACATGGGCCTGCACCTGCCTCTGTCTTGGGAGCACGTATCAGGGAAGGCACCTTGGAGGAGGCAGGCAGGGCCTCTAGGAGGGAGATGAGTGTGGCTGGTGGGACGGGCAGGGGTCACTGGCCACATGGGGAAGGCATGGCCCATGTTGCCTGAAGGCGAGGGGACTAGAGTCCTAGAAAGAGCCCAGCGGTGGCCGCCCTGGGGGAGAGAGGAAGGCAGCCCCTCCCCATAGCGTCCTTGCTCAGGGCCTGGTGCAGCGGTGGGAAGAGCCCACTGGCTTTGGAGTCCTGGCTTCTTGCTGGAGCCCAGGGACCTTGGTCGGTCACTACCCTCTCTCTGGGGCTGGAGGCCCTCTGTCTTCTGCAGGGTCTGCCCGCAGCCTGTGCGTGGGAAATGGGACCGCACTGCGGGCAGCCGGGACCCAGAGGGGCTGCTCCCTCTCCAGCACCACGCTTGGCTCCCCGTGGCTTCCAGTGCTTTCCACAAGAGTGAGTCTCCACTCGGGGCCGGAAGGCGTTGCCAGCAACGGTGGTAAGCCGGCAGGCCCGAGGGCAGTTCGGCGTCCTCAGAGCATCTTGGGCAGCGATGATGGTCCTAACGAAGGTTGCATTCTTGTGGGCTGGCGCCGCGGGAGGAAGCTGGGGGCGGGCGGACAGCTGGGCTGCCGCGTGGCTGTGGAAGGTGCGTGAAAACTGAGGCCAAGCCCCTGCCCCAGCTTGACCAGGAGAGACACCCCCAGCCCCAGCAGAAGGGCATCCTGTGTTCCCCTGCGGGCCCTCACCCGACTGCCCATGGCGTCAAGGAGCCTGGGAAACCCTCCGAGCCGGGGGGCCGTGAGCACAGAGTGAGTGCGTTGGGGGAACCAGGAGTCCGAGTACAGTGTGGATGTTGGTTCGTGGGTGTGACAATGTACGGCTGGAACGTAAAGGCAGGAAACAGTGCAGAGTAACGTCTTCTCACCTCTGTAAACCCAAAGCTGTTCCGCAAGCTTATTTTTTAAACGATCATAGTTATTCACACACAGCCCCTTCCCCAGGCTGTCTCCCCAGGGTCGTGCAGGGCCCTGTCCTGGCTCACCTGCCAGGCGAGCTCACCCGCCCCAAGGCTCACCTGCCAGACCGCCCTGCCCTCCCCGTGGACACCCGAGCTAGGCCGCAGTGACCCCGCCCCCCCTGCAGGTGCCGCCCCCGGCCCCGCCCCCACTCCCTGGTCCGGGCAGCAGGGCCCGCTGGAGCCGAGGCGGCGGCGGCTTCCGCGGAGGGCGGTGAGTCCGGGTCTCCGGAAAGGGCTGGGGCGACCTCTGTGGGCACTGAGCTCCCGGGTCAGGCAGAGCCGCTGTGCGGCCGGCTGGACCGGCGGAGCAGAGGGCCGGGGTCCGCGGATGAGGCCGGGTGCGTCAGGGTTCCGGACACCTGCCGTGCTCCCATCCCAGAGCGCCGTTTCCCGCCTTCGCTCCCCACTGAGCAGGCTGGTGCGGGGCGCGGCAGGAACCTGGGGCCAGAGCCGGGCAGGGCGGCCAGGCCCGCTGCGGGGAGCTGCTCTGCTTCCCCTACCTGGCCCTTAGCATCTGCGTGCCCCGGGGTGCCCGCCTGACGAGAGTGCTGGGGGTCACCCTGGGGGGTGCCAAGAAAATGCCTGACGCCGGGAGGGGGGGGAATGTGTGGCAGGAAAGCCAGCCTGGCACCCGGGGGCAGCTGTCATTGGGCTCTGCAGTCCAGTCAGGAGGACGGGCTTTGCCCAAGGATCGGCAGAGGATGGCCCAGCAGGGCCCTGCTCTGTCGCCCATCTCAGGGACCAACGCCACACTCCCTGGACCCCACGGGGGAAGGCGTGGTCCCTGGCAGTGGTCGGAGCTTTGGGGACTGTGTGTTCACATCAAACACAGGCCATCCAGCCCCCTTTAGTGTCCACATGCTGGGATCCGGAGGGCGAGCCTCTGGGCACCTGGCAGATGTGACTGGTGTCTTGTGCACCAGCACGGTGGGACACGACCATGAGGACGCGGCCTCGTGGACCCCGAGCCTGCGCTGTCTGCGGCCTTGGCCCGCGGTGGTGAGTGTGAGTGCGCGTCTGCCACCGTGTGGCCCCGTGTGTGAGGGCGTGCCTAGTTGTGTGTGCAGTTGCGGGGAGGCTGTGCGTCTGTGTCGCTAGTGTGTGACCACGTGTGTTCTCGAGATTGCGTGTGTGATTGCGCTGGGAGGTTGTGGGTACGGTAGCACGTGTGCGTGAACTCCTCCTTGCTTGGAACATGGGGCTCGCCACCGCTCATGTGGACCTGATCACCAGACCACGGGAGTCCCCCAAAGACGCTGTGGCACGCAGCCCTCTCGTTCCACCAAACCAAAAGTCGGGACGGTGGTGCCGAGCCGACGGCTTGTGTGGCCGGAGCCGTGAGCCCCGCAGCCCCTTCTGGCCTCGGGCCCCACGCTCGACGAGTGCGTGTGTGCTGTGTGGGTTTCACTCGGTGCGGAATTGTGGATGTTCAGGGCGAGCAGTACAGAGTCTTTGGACGATGTACTGGGCGGCCTCTGGCTCGAGCTGGGCTTCCTCTTGGGAACAGCCTGTGTCCAGTGGCCTGAAGAAAGTCCTCCTCTCGTGACCACTGCTGTCCATGGACAGCTTGACACAGTGGCCGAGCTGAAGCCCTGGGTGGGGGAACCCGGGAAAGGCAGAGCAAACTGGCCGAGGCAGGTGCCCCTCTGGCCGTGGCCTGGTGAATCCTGGTCATCCTGGGGAAGGACAACAAAGGCAGGGGAGGCAGATGCCCCCATCCGGCCTTCGCTCTCATCTGTGCGGGCCCAGAAGGAGACACAGGCTGGATGCACGAGGATGCGGCTGTGTGGCTGGTGTCCGGGAGCTGAGACCCCCACCCCAGCATGGGCGTAAAGCCCTCGGTGCCCCATCTCTGCGGCTCACCTGCCTCACCTGGACAGCAGGGACCCATATTGTGATAGAAACCCCTGGAACTGTAAGAACAGCGTGCGAGGAGGACGGGAGGTGGGGAGACAGAGGCAGAGAGGGAGACAGACAC